TTTCACTATATGGAAATCATATTAAATAAAAATGTATTATTCAAAACATACAACGTTCTTTCCACACACTTGGGCAAAATACCATAAAGAAACTTCATAAATTTACTGGTATCCTGTTTCCACAGATAGAAATTACATTGAAATGCATGTATTTTCTACTTTCTTCCTTACTTTGCAAGTAACTCTTAATCCTATAATATTCTTGTTATGGTTCATCAAACAGAGAAAGAATAACGTAAGTGTACTGCAAAAGCTGTAACACACACACACACACACCCAACCGTATTAAGTAATCACTAGTTTTTTTTGACCTGCAAAAGCAGAATGCCTGCAGTTTGTTAAACAACTTTAACTACTCTCTCTTTAGCCCCAGAAAGCAAAGAATATTACCTAATACCGTACTTTTATTTAAACTACCTTAAAAGGAACTTATAATTGTAGTAGAAGAATTATGATCTAATCTTTCTTAAGCAATTATCAAGACATATGTAACTGCCTGTACATTTCAACCAACCCTAGGGTATTCCCCAGTCAACTTGAAAGACATATTTTCCATGGCAGTATCAGTAACTTCTATAAAACATATCTGATGTGGGAGAAGGGTGAAATTACTATCTTAAAGTATTTATAGGGTTTTCATTCATGCTACATTTACTCCCTCCCAGTACAGAGAAAGAATCCAGAATCAACAGCAATGTTTTCTCATTAGGTCTAAAAATATTTGCTCCCTACCACAATGAAAATGGCTTTCATTTTTTTCTGTTTATATAAATTATAAATATAAATTGAAAATGAGAATCAAAAGAGATAAAAGTATAAGAATAAAATTGAAAAGAAATTTAAAATTACCTAAATTCCATTATCCTGACACAACCACCACCATTTTGATGATGATTCATTTGAACTCTATGCACACACACACAGACACATACTTTACATAAGTCGAATACCAAATACGTTGTTTTTGACGGGAATAACTTTTAAAAATAATTGTTTTATCTCTTTTTCCTATCTCACCTCCTCCTCTCTTAAATAACCAATGCCAACAACCAGATGTATATCCTATCATATCTTTATCTGGGCTCACTGTATCAAATAAAAATATACACATGTACATACACAGATAGTGGTGAGGGAGGGAGAGTTGTTATTCAGGTAACAACAGTAGGATCTTATTATAGATGTTTCTCTGCATCATGCTTTTCTCATTTTATAGTGGAAATTCCTCCAAGTCAACTGGTATGAAGCCAGTTCATTTTATTTAAATGGCTGACAATATTCCATGAAAAATGTATTCAAGCATTCCCCAGTAGATGGGTTCTCTTTTTTTCTCCTGCGTCAAAATCTGACCCTCACTAACTGGGTGAAATAATAAATGTTTGTTTTTAACTGCTAATTTCTGCGGTCATTTGTTACACAGCAATTGATGACTAATACAGCACCCAAGGTCAAAAGAAATATCAACAGTTCTATTTCTTAAGTAGTTAGGTCCAAACAATAAGTATAATACTTATGCCCTGACAATTTAGTAGCCATCCAAAAAAAAATAATCAACATATATTACAAGAAAAATATTTGTATTTTTACCTACCCCACTCATAACCCAACACAAGCTTTTGAGAGAAGTGTTTAGGGTTCATTTACTCTCAAAACATGCCATACGTCTTAGCATTCATGTACATACACACTTATAGTTTTTTCTCATTATGGGAAGAAAAGGAGTAGCTGAGAGGCTTTGATTTTGTTTTCCACCCCTCTCTAGATAACTGCACCATTAACTTCCTTATCTGCTTAAGCTGCATATACTAAACATAATTAAAATTTCTTACTGACAGAATCAAGCACTGTGAGCATCAAACAGTATATCCGAATAACAGCGATGCCTTAGATCTGTGCAGTCTAATACACAGCCACTAGCCACCTGGGGCTACTTAATCTAAAATAATTAAAATTAAATAAAATTTAAAATTGCATTCCTTAGATGCACTAGCCTCATTTCAAGTACTCAATAGCCACCTGTGGTTAGCAGCTGCCGTATTATACAGTGCAGATTAGAGTATTTTAATCACTGCAGAAAGTTTACTAGAAACACTATCCTAGAGGTTAATGAAATACAGAGTATTCTTGCGCTAAAGACCCCCTATATCTTATACTTTTGGTTTTCTATGTTACTTAGATTCTTCAGTCTTCCCCCTTATGACACTTTGTCAGTTGTCAACTTGCTGTTAATGTGCCTTTCACAGCTACGCCCCCCACACACAAAGTTGCTTCCAGTTGCTGAAACTGGAAGAAACAATCAACCAAACAGAATAACATTATATCCAAAGTGGATTCTTAAGAAAAGGCCCTTAGAACCTACAATCTCATCACAATGCTTCTGATTTTTCAGAGTCCTCTTTTCCTTTCTTTCTAATTCTCAGACCTGTTCAAGATATGGTAAATGAATTGTTACTTACAGTATAGTTGTTCCTCACTATTCATGGGTTTTGCACTTGCAAATTCATCTACTCACTAAAATTTATTTGTAACATCAAATCAATACTCTCAGTCATTCCTGGACATGCACAGAGCAGCAAAAAATTTAAGTTGCCAGAAGCACGCTCTCCCAGCTAAGGTCAAACAATGGACCCTATGCCTTTTTGTTTTAGCTCTCATACTACAAACAAGTTTCCTTTTCATGGTCTATTTAGGCACATTTAAAATATTTCTGTGGGGCTTCCCTGGTGGCGCAGTGGTTGAGAGTCCGCCTGCTGATGCAGGGGACGCGGGTTCGTGCCCCGGTCTGGGAGGATCCCGCATGCCGCGGAGCGGCTGGGCCCGTGAGCTATGGCCGCTGAGCCTGCGCGTCCGGAGCCTGTGCTCCGCGACGGGAGAGGCCACAGCAGTGAGAGGCCCGCGTACCGCAAAAACAACAACAACAAAAATTTCTGTGTTTTCTGTTGGTGTTTCACTGTCTAAAATGATCCCCAAGTATGGTGCTGAAGTGCTGTCTAGTGTTTCTAAATGCAAGAAGGCTGCAATGTGCCTTACAGAGAAAATATGTGTTATTAGATAAGCTTTACTCAGGCAAGAGTTATAGTGCTAATGGCTGTGAGTCCAATGCTAATGAATAAACAATATACACAAAGTAAGGTGTCTTTAAACAGAAATGCATATAAAGTAACATTATGTATTGACTGGTTGATGAAAATCTGTAACAAGAGGCTAGCAGGAACTTAACTCTGAGTTACAGTGAAAGATCCACCAGACTGGTAAAATCTAAAAATCATCCATAGAAGTGATGGAAAGAACACAATGCACAACAACTTTCATACACTGCCAGTCAGAGTATAAATTATACATCTATTTTGTAAAAACAGTTTTGCATTACCAGATAAAAGTTGAACACACATATCCTCTATTATCCAGCAATTGTACACCAAGGTATATACCCTAAAGAAACTCTTGTATGTGTATACCAGGAAAAAACATAGAAGAATATTCATAGCATCTTGTTCCTAAGACCAAAAACTATAAAAAACTCAAAAGCCTATCAACTGAAAAATGGATAGATATATTTTGGCATACTTATATATTGGAATACTAACCAGTAGTGAAAACTAACAAACTATAATTATACTCGGCAACATTAATATCATAATGTTAAGCAAACAAACAAAAAGCTAGCCAAAGAAGATGTATAATGAGTGATTCAATATATATTATATTTATATAAAGCCAAAGCCAGACAAAACTTAAATCACAGGAATTTATAAACATATACATATATAATACTGTGAGAATATGCTTAACAAAATATGAAATAATAATTACTGGGGTGGGATTAGAGGATAGATATAAGATGGGGCTCACAGGAGGCTTCAAAGGTTGTAGCAGTTTTCCATTTCTATAGATGGTTGACAAGTAAACAGGTATTTGCTTTATTATTCTTTATATTTTATATATAAGTGTGTGTGTATTCTTTGGATATATATTTTGCAATTAAACACTTAAACACCAGGTGATCCAAAAAGGTTTGTAAACTGTAAGAAAAACAATTAAAAAGGAAAAATAAGTACAGACACTAGGTTTCCAAGAATTACACTAGAATAAAAAAAAATAAAGTAAGTTTTATTTACCCATCTTCTTTACCTATCAGAGCATTAATTTCCTCAAGGATATGGACATAAGTGCTAATGCTGAAAGTGTAATATAACTGAAAAATGATCATTTTTTAATTCAGATGACATCGGACACCACTTGTCAAGGAAACAATTTAGCTCATGGTCCTGATGTCATCTAAATATACTAGTTTAGTAAAATAACAAACTATATTAAGCTTATTTTCCCTAAAAGGCAGTTACTGAATCACTGAGTCAAATTTGAATTTACTAACATCTTAAATATTTACAGAATGACTTGAGTTTAAGTGCAGTAGAAGTCACAACCTCTGCTCAGATCAGTACTCTGATCAGTTACTACTCAGAACACTAACAGCACCTTAACCAGTTCTTTTTAGTTAACATTTTCCTCAAAATGTAACAAGAAACTTAGTTTTGCATCATTAGTAATCCAGAAAAATCATAAATTAGATTTTAAATGTTCCAGTAGAGAGAAGTATAAAGTCTATGCTTCATCAAATTCCACACTGTATCTGCCTATGAAATAAAAATTCTTCCAAAATGTAAACAAACAAAAAAAGAGGAAATAAAAATTTACCTCTGGGACTTCCCTGGTGGTCCAGTGGTTAAGACTCTGCGCTCCCAATGCAGGAGGCCCGGGTTTGATCCCTGGTCAGGGAACTATATTCTGCATGCTGCAACTAAAAGAGCCCAAGAGCCCGCATGCCGCAACTAAGATCTCACGCAGCCAGATAAATAAATTAAAAAAAAAAAAAATTACCTCACAATTTCAAAGACTGAATAAACTATTAATGGAATCTAGTTAACTGATATCAGTTAAGTGCATGCCTATTTAAAATCTGACTTCTGAATGGTATGAAGAACTACACATAATCTTACCTGGGGAGGGTAGTTGCTCTCTGAAGACCACCGTGAAGACTGGTCATTTGGCTTATCCACTAAAATGTTCCTGAAATAAAGAAATCAAAATTATAGCAATTATTAAAAGAATAAGTGAACAGGCATATGCAAAAAGAGAAATAATCTACCAGATGCTAAAATTATCACAAAGTTATATAATGCCTGGAACTTGAATAAGAAGAGAAAATTAAACAGAATAAGAAACACAGAAAATGTCTAGTAATTTAAAAATTTTTAAATATGATAAAGGTAGCATTTTAAACAATTGAAAAAGTACTACATACATATGTATATGTGTGTGTCTGTGTAGCTCTACTTCACATCAAGTGACAAAATGAACTATAGTTGTATTTAGGAATTTAAGGTAAATAAAGTAATAAAATATCTAATAATTAATAAAATATTCTCTCTCTCTCCCTCTCCCTCCCTCCCCCTCTCTTATATATATATATATATATATATATATATATATATATATATATAAAATTAATCTTTGGATCAAAAAGGTCTTTTAAGCCCAGCACCAAAAACAGAACTGTGAAAAAAGGAACTGATATAAGTAACTTTGGAAGACAATGCTCTCACTGGAAGCTGTAAAGCTAAAGACAAATAGAACCATACACAAAAACTGTATTTTAAGGACTTCCCTGGTGGCACAGTGGTTAAGAATCCGCCTGCCAATGCACGGGACACGGGTTCGAGCCCTGGTCCAGGAAGATCCCACATGCCGTGGAGCAGCTAAGCCTGTGCGCCACAACCACGGAGCCCACGCTCTAGAGCCCGCGTGCCACAACTACTGAGCCCACGTGCTGCAACTACTGAAGCCCGCACGCCTAGAGCCCGTGCTCCGCAACAAGAGAAGCCACCACAATGAGAAGCCCGCACACGGCAACAAAGAGTAGCCCTTGCTCATTGCTACTACAGAAAAGCCCGCACACAGCAACAAAGACCCAACACAGCCAAAATTAAATTAATTAATTTTAAAAAACTGTACTTTATTTGATAAAGTTATTTCTCAGAGGAATATGGGTTAATTCTGAAACACTTTATATGTATACTGGGGTCAAACAAATAAGTAAATGAACAGTAGATGATGGGAGTGAAGTTTCTCACTTCGAGTGGGAAGCTACAGAAAAGCAAGGGCAGGGAGGTTGGAATGATCCTGATAGTACTGGAATAGAGTCAGAGACATCAGTGTGAACTCATATTTAGGTTTATATAGATACAGATTCAGAAGTAATTATATGTGAATGTGCGTACATATACCCATGCACACTGACACAAATAGTATTCCTTGCTCTGTTCACTAATAGAGACTAGAGGCAGTGACACCCCCAGTAGCAGTGAGTACACCAATGCCGAATCTTGGTTTCTACATAACACAGTCTGATAGAAGGAAACAGGGATTCTTGGGGAAGTAGCTGATTCTAGGATTAGAGCAGGGAATCCAGATTAGCCTAGAGCATGTTGTAGTGCTCAAAACAACAACAGCAAAAGGAAGGTGGGGGGATGTCAAAGGGACACAGAGGAGCCAACATGAAAAAATGAATGGCCAAAGCTAAAATAAACAACAAAATAAATAACATAGTATTGGATTAGAACCCAAAGTATAAATATCCCTGAGTCCATACTGATATAAATAACCCCAGTCTAACAATCAGAAAACCACCAGACAGATTCAAATTGAGGAACATTCAACAAAATACATGACCAGTACTCCCCAAAACTCTCAATATATTGAAAAACAAGGAAAGACTGAAAAACTGTCACAGACCAGAGGAAAGAGACAAGACAACTAAAAGTAATGGTATCTTGGATGGGATCCTGGATCAGAAAGAAAACAGTGGAAAAACTAATGAAATCCGAATAAAATGTGGCATTTAGGTAATAGTAATGTATCAGTGTTGGTATCTTGGTCATGACAACTGTACCATGGTAATATAAGATGTTAGCAATAGGAGAAACTAGGTGAGGGGCATATGGGAACTTCATACTATCTCTGCAACTTTTCTGTAAATCTGAAATCATTCTAAAATAATGTGCCTTCTCAAAGGCCCATTTATTTATCTATCTTAAAATACAGATCTATACCTGTCACAGAGAAAGTTATTCTTTTTGACTTAATAAATGTCAAAAAGAATAACTTTTTTTTAAAAGGCAGTACTATAAGGAAAAGAATTTTCTTTACATACACATCTCACAAAGGTAAAACATTAATACATAAAATAACCTCAAACAATACTAAAAGGTAAAAACCAACTAGAAAAATATAGGCAACATAAAACACAAAAGGCTAATTAAAATATGAACGAAGAGCACTTAAACATAAATACCCCATATGAAAATAGGCAAAACCCAAACATTCGAAATCAATAACCAAACATTAGAGATTAAAACAAAGATATATATTAACCCTATAAAATTGGGCCTACACTCTCAAAACAACATGTGTTTTAGTCATAATTGCAGCTGTTGGCCAGAGCTGGTAAAATGGCACTCTCATATTTTGCTGGTAGAAATGCAAGTTGATACAACTTTTCAAGAGAGAATTTTAATATTATATAAAAAAAATTTCAAATATGCATATCCTTTTAAATAAAAAGGATAATGACGTCAGCCACGATGACAGTGATGATGTTTGCATCTAACATTTCTGAGCTTTTATGACATCTCAGACACTGGTCTAAGTGCTTTCCATACATAAACTATTACCATCAAAGCACAGATTAAGAAACTGAGAGAGATAAATTAATTTGCCTAAGCATATACACCTAAGAAATAATTTGAATCCAAGGCAATTTGACTCTAAAGCCAACGCTCCTAATCACCATACTATACAGCCTCAGAATTATTCCACTTCTTGGAACTTAACCTAAAAAATAATCCAGGGGATTTAAATCATCCACATTCATCACAATACAATTTACAATAACAAACTGTGAACAACCTAATTGTCTAACAACAGAGGATGCATTAAAATAAATTATGAAATATCTGTTACAAAATACCATGTAATCATAATGTATTCTACAGCCTGACTTTAATATTGTTGGAAAATGTCCACTACATAGTGAGTAAAGGGAAAAGGTAGTTTACAGTATATATACTGTAAATCAAGTATTGTAAGTAATAATAATATTCATGCATGAAGAGAAAAGACAAAGATATACTAAATTGTTAATGTAGTTCTCAATGGTGAGATTTCAGTGACTTTTTTCCTTCTTTGTGCTTTTTTGTACTTTTCAAATATTCTAAAATTAACACATCTGACACATTATCAGAAAAAAAGGTGTGTTTTATTAAGAATGAATTACAAAGCAAAGATGAGAACTCTATGAAAACACTGCAGTACAGTTAAAAGGTACAGCTAAAAAACTAAGAAAAAATCACTCTGACATGAATGTTATAAAGCATGAAAGAAAACCTAATATATTATAACTATGATAAATTGGGACCACAAAAATCACAAAGTATAATAAATTGGAGGAGGGGAGATCAAATGCAATGGGAGTTAATTTCATCATTTTTCATAGCTCCTAAGAATAATGTTTCTGAAATTAAGAAAAAAAGAGATTCAAGCATACTTAAGTTTAGAATAAAAACATACTACATATCTTATAAATTATTTGAGACAGAATATCAACAACAAAAAATAGTAAAAAGAAGGAAATAAAAGATTAAATGAAAGCAGGACACATTAAAAACAGAAAATTTTAAATAAAATGACAATATTAATACCAAGCATCTAGTACAGTCATACATATAAATGGTCTAAAATAACATAGTAAGATATCCTTTGCACTGGGTGAATAGTAGTAACATTACTATTACACGAAGGCACACACACAATAACTGACTCATGACAGAAAGATATATAAGGCAGACACAATCTTTGTAAAACTAGGAGGAAGTTAAAGAAAAAGTATTAACTGGGATTAAAGGGGTCAAAGGTAGAGATAAAAAAATACAATTTAAGAAAGTATGAACTGGGGCTTCCCTGGTGGCGCAATGGTTGGGAGTCCGCCTGCCGATGCAGGGGACACGGGTTCGTGCCCCGTCCGGGAAGATCCCACATGCCGCGGAGCTGCTGCACCCATGAGCTATGGCCGCTGAGCCTGCACATCCGGAGCCTGTTGTTCCACAACGGAAGAGGCCACAACAGTGAGAGGCCCACGTACCACAAAAAAAAAAAAAAAAGTACGAACTGGATGAAAACAATAGCTATAAAATAATAGTTCAAGCCAAGACTGTGAGTCTTAATGAATTAAACTAAAACAAAAATAAAGCAAAACACAGTAAATATCAGAAGAAACTGATAAAAAAAAAGTAGCAGGAGATTAAAGTCTCTCAGCATCTAGAAAATTAATAAACAACTATATAATGTCAAAGTAGTGGTAAGGATTAATAGTACTATGAAGAAAAATAAAGCAAAGTAGAAGAGAAACAGACCTGAACAATATGAGGGAGCTAGCCATGTCATAATCTGAAAAACAAGCAGATGGATCACTAAATGCAAAGTTAAGGAGGCAAACAGTTACAATATGTTATGGTCTTGTGAATTTTTTTTTTTTTTTCCTGTGGTACGCGGGCCTCTCACTGTTGTGGCCTCTCCCGTTGCGGAGCATAGGCTCCAGACGCGCAGGCTCAGCGGCCATGTTTCATGAGCCCAGCCACTCCATGGGCCCAGCAGCACGTAGGATCTTCCCGGACCGGGGCACGAACCCATGTCCCCTGCATCGGCAGGCGGACTCTCAACCACTGCGCCACCAGGGAAGCCTGGTCTTGTGAATTTTGAAATGCCTATTAAACAGCCCATTAGAGATCCAGCAGTTGGATTATCTGAGGCTGAAATTCAAGGAAAATGCCAGAACTGAAAAAAATATAGAGAAACATCAGTATATCAAATGCTAAAATATTTAGAGTTATGACACTGAGTGAAATGACTCAGGGGATAAAAGAGAGCTAGAAAAGATGCTGAAGGACTGATTAAGCTCTGGGGGTCCATTATTTAGGGGGTCCAGAAGAGAAAGATCAAGCAAAGGAGACTGA